GAAAACACATAAAGGCCGTAGGAGGAATGTCATGTCCACACACACAGCCAAGGCACGGAGCCGTGTCCTTTCTCAGCCCCTTTTCTTATGAGCCTCTTTCTGTTTGCCTAAGGATGTGTGGAGATTAGAGAGAGTGGGCTATGGGGATTTTATCCCCTGTGTAGCACCCTTGCCAGGAAAATCAAACCAACAGGGCCAGAGGCGTCCCACAGGAGGCCCCACAGCTGTCCTCAGGGAGGGCTTGCTGGTACAGGGCTAGCAGAGGTGTGCTTGCAGCATCTGGGACCAGATGTGGCCAGCTGGCTGCTGGTGCACTGCAGAGGTGGGTCCCATAACCTCCTCTGAGCTAAGGCACATATTTATACAGCCCTACCAGAAAAGGCAGGGTGGAACATGCTAATATATACACATTAAAGAGACTGAATAAATAAACAGTAGTTTCTGATTTATTTTCTCTGCTACTTGGATATCTTAGTTTTGGCACAAGATAGATTTCATACACAAATGTGATCCCCAGATAGGTTTTTGTCCTGCCTGGTTTAGAAACCATGTGCAAAGGAGAAAAACTTCACAAATGTTCTTAAAGCATAATGATATTTATGCTGTTTATTGCCAAAGCACATAAAATCCTTGGCCCCTTTCAGCTAGGTAATATACAATAGGTAACAGTGCTGATCTCTGCCCTGGAGGATTTACAGTTACAGATGGGAGATAACAGTGAGTACAGTCAGACTGGGAAAGTACATAAAATGTGATTAGTCAGTCTGAGACTCACTAAATGCTGTACACTTAATAAGGATTGTTCAGCTCATTTGTGTCTCACCTGGGAGAGAGTGCAGGGTTTGGTGGGGCAAAACCAGACACGGAAAACAGCAAACGCCCTCGACACTGGGGAAAAGGTGATGGGAGGGAGCAGTTGAGAAATGTTCTGGTCACAGAAAGTTGTAAACTACTTGTAAGTTTTATTATTAAGTGGGACTTGTACCCAGTTAAGGTTTCAGGTGGAATATGTGTAACAATGCAATCAAAATTGTCATGGGAAGCCCGTTAAGAAAGGCTGCAGGACTTAGCACTCCTCCTGTCCTCAAGCCCCAAGCTGCTTATCTCCTCCCACTGAGCAAAGTCTGGAGGAATTACACTGTCGTGAATGGCCATAACATTTCCAGAAGCACTGACAATGCTGGATTGTGTTCTCTGGCTCATTTCCTCCTGCTAACCAATCCCTCTAAGGTGAACAGAATGGAGAAAAAAAACTTGTTTTTCTTGCAATTTCTCTTGTAATTTACTTGATTTTTTTCTACCAGGTTAAACACTTGATATTTTAAAAGCACTGGATGCTGTGATTTCTAGGTGTATACCTAGAAATAACTCGTGATGCCCTGTGAGCCCTCTCTTCCCTAGGGAAGCTGCAGCCAGGAATGCTGCAGGAGAGCTGAGGTTGCCAGGAACTTCCAGCAGTACAAACCAGAGTGATGCCAAGAGAGCTGGAAAGCAGGGAGCGTGCCAACCACAAAATTAATCTCTGAGTTAATAAAAGCCTGCATGGTTTGAGGTTTGTGAAGCAATAAACGAGTTCAAATTTGCCAGCAACTGAAAAAGAAAAGCAATTAGGTGTTAAGGGAAACCTTCTAATGGGGATAAAGATAATACATTGGAATATGCAATGGGTTGAAAAACGTGATGAGAAATTAATCTTTAATTGAAAATTACTAAAGGCATTTTGATGAAGAACATAGAAATGTATATATCAAAGCAAACCTTTTAATTCCTTTTACTAATAGGGAATGATAGGGTAAGAGCTTCTGTTTAATAGCACTAATAATTTCATAATATTTTTCCTCTGAGTCATAAGATAGGCTCTTTTTACCAGTGAGTACTTCATCCAAAAAAAAAAAAAAAATCTCTTTGGCTTCTCCTCATCATAGTAGTTTCTAGGTCTGTATGACCTAGGAAGCTGCTTGTACTAATGTGTTTTACCTCTGCTTTTCCAACACCCAGGCAGAAGGAGACCCCTTTCAATTTCCCCACACTCCTATGACTCTACTGGGGACACTGCTAGCAAGTTTGCAAGGCTAAAAGAGGTTATGAGAAAAAGTGAGCCTGAGGAAATACCTCAGTGTGATCCAAATGGAACCTGGGGGAGTCCTTCATCAATGTGTTGTTAGGTGACTCAAATGTGCACAATTTCAGTGGCATCAAAGGAGGCTTTTCTGGTTTTAAAACAAAACATCTTGCTCAAAAGGGAAGAATAGGCAACAATAAAGACATATATAAATGGGAATTTTGCAAGCTGATTGCAATGGGTAGTTTAGCAGTTTGCAAAAGGGGTAAGTAGCTAGGGAAATTCAATGAAAATGTATTGGTCAGTACCATTGATCACCAGTGGCATTTCCTTGAGGCACAAATAAAATCCTAGCAGTGATTTAGGTTGGATGTTGGACAACAAAAATTGCAATTCAATGAAAAAAACCTCTTAAATTATTCATTAATTTTTCTGTTCTTTGTTTAAAAAATTGACACAACAGTGTCACCATATTGGAGGTATTTCACATGGTCTTTCACATGTAACCAGAGTGAATGAAACCACTGGTTCATACCCGTCTTTAAAACGTTCATGCAAAAGAACTTTAAGAATTGCCTGAGAAGATCACCAAACCCTTAGTACTGATTTCTCAGTAAATACTGCATCACTGAATTTCCAGAGAATCAGGGGAAGTAACTGCTGAGTCATTCCATAAAACCCAGTGACTGGTGTGTCCCGGGTGAGCAGGGACAGAAGCTTGGCCAGGCTGACACCAGCCTTGGCAAGAGCGGTGAGGTGTGCAGTCAACAGAGACTCAAACTGTGACAGCAGAGTTAGCACATTAACAGAAAATAGATGTTTTTAGGGTTTTTTCGAGTAGAGGAAGGCGTCCATCTGATTTGAGTCAGAGCAGCTCAGCATTATGTGTGGGTGGCTGCCAGAAGGGGCAGCTTTCTCATTTTGTTTTCCTCTCATTCCCTCAAACAGTGGTCACATGAGTGAATCAACTCACCAGGCCAACAAAAAAAAAACCTGTATTTTCTTTCTATCATTGTCAGAATTTCCTGCTGGACTCCCATGCTGGGCAGACTCCCCCCAGAGCTGTGGGGTCACTGGAGCTGTCACAGGAAGCCCAGAGTGGTGCTGGGCTGATGTGATGATCTGCCAGATGGATGTAACCCCTGTTCAGTCACTGCTGGGGTTGCATGCAATGAGATGTAGCAGTGAATGTCTCCCTTCACCTGCAATGGAGAAGAACTACTGGAAAAAAATAGTATGTGACAATAAATATAGATCCTGTGGTGCCTTACAAATCCTATAAATGGTTTGCAGTGGTCTTCAAATTTGAGCAGACAGTTGACAGAAGCAGGGATGGGTTATTAAAAGCAGGCGTAGCTAGGACAATAGGAAAGATCCCTGATCACTTCTGTCAGGCTGAGGGGAAGAGCTGAGTGACCACTGTGGGGCCGGGGTTGTGTCCAGCACCCGAGCTGGGGTCTGCGATGGGGGTGCCCCAGGGCACTCAGGCTTTACAGGGATTTCCCTGAGGTGATCCCCACCCTCTCTCACTCTGCCTAACGTTCCCAGTGGTCACACCGAGTGAGATGTGCAGAGCTGCTCATCTGGGGCTTGCCTGCCAAGGTTCACCAGTGCTGGATGCAGCCAGATCCCCCAAGAGCAGCCGTAAAGCTCTTGGCCTGGTGTCCTCCCCTATCCCGTGACAATGGAGGACTGGAGGTAATGCTGGAGGGTAGCTGGCACAGCTGGACCTGACTCCATGGAAATGTCTGCCATGTAGATTTTAGGGGCAGCACCCAGCCCCCAGTGCCAGCAGGACACCCACGGCCAGCACACATGGCCTGGGGACCCTGGCTCCCACCCGGAGGTGGGGTCTGCAGCCCAACACCCCCCGCCATCCCTGTCCCAAAGGGACCCCTTGTCCTGCCCCCAGAGCCCTGCATAGCCATGTCCCCCACAGCCATGTCCTGCCACAGATGTATCCCCCATATCCACCTTCCCGCGCGTGGCCGGCAGCGCGGGCGCCCGGCGTGTCGCGGCCGCCGGTGTCCGGACACGTGCGGCGCTGGCCCAGAGGCCGGGCCGCCCCCCGCCTTGCCCAGGGGCCACCCCGGGCTGTCGGGGCCCCCTCGGCACTCGGGCAGCTCTCCCGTGCCGCTTCCTCCTCCTCTCAGCCCGGCCCCGGTTCTGCCGGCGGTCCCGGTTACCGAACCGCGCGCGTTCCGCCGCCTGGGCACACGTCAGCGTGTTCTGCAGTGGCGGGGTCGGTGGGGAATGCCGGTGATCGTACCAAAGAGAAACTTTGGCAGCCCGAGATGAGGACTCAGTGCGTCTCATCCTTTTTTCAGCACATGAGTCAGTGCGTTCTGCTGCTGCTGCTGCTGACAAAGGCTGTAGAGCACTTTTCCATCAGCTGAGCTATGGAGCCGGGATCTCGCACTGCGAGCACCTCTGACAGCCACTGCGTCATCCCTAAGAGGAGGCCTGTTTATGCCTGTTCAGGATAAACAGCTCCTAGGTGAATTAAACACTGAGAACCTTAACAGAATTGATACTGAAAATGAAGATGAACTCGAGTGTCTGCAGTATTGGCTCTGAAAGCTTGCTGCTACCATCAGTGCTCTGGCTTGCCTGCTGGGATCAGTGTATCCCTGCAGGTGCTGTAGTTGGAAGAGACTTTTGGAGCCCTTCAGGAAGCTGAGATAGCATAGCCTCCAGCAGTGGGAGATGGGTAACTCTAAACTGTTCTAACATGAGTGCTGATGGTTGTCTGGCCACGTTGACTGGCTGCTTCCTCTGAGGTTGCTGAGTTAGAATTCGTTAATGTGTTTTCTTTGCAGTATGCACTCACTTCAATTGTAGGGTGTTTTCTTAGCAGGGGCAATCAAGATTATGTTTTATTTAGCCTATTCATTATATTCATTACTCTGACTGTTTTTTTTTTTTTTTTTTTTGTAGGTGACTCAGCTGTTGTATGTATGAGATTTGTCCACACACTGGCTCTTCAGACAGGTTAGTAATATTTTTCAGCCATCAGTTTCATCATGTTTGAAAGAATTGCTACTTTTACCTTTTCTTAAAATTTTGTACAATGCTGTTGCATCCTGTAGAATATTGATTTTCTTGGTCTTGTGAGAAACAGCTTTTTTGGCATTATTTAAATTTATTCTGTGGTGTAAGTGTGGTCCTCATAAGTTTAATGTCCCTGTATCAGTGTCATGAGTGACAGCAGTGTATCTTTATTACATGTATACTGAGGAAATGTTTGTCTTAGTATTTGGCATGACACTGATGGCTACATACTGCTGTTTTTGTTAGCTGCTTTTTCTTGTTGGCTAAGTACAAGTACAGTTTCACAAAGTTTAAAGAAAATACACTGTGTAAACTTTGAACTGTACAATTGGCTTGGAAATTGATTGGTACTGATTTAACCCTCCTGACTTCTAAGAAGCATATCATTAACATGATTTAGTGAAACAAAAATGTCATCTGTTGTTGGTGTAGTCACCTTTGGGAAAGAACACTGGCTTCTGGCTACATTGAGTGTTCCAGTGTGAGCATCTAGGTCAGCTGTGAAAAACTCATGTGCTCCAAGGTTATCAGTTTTTGAAGTGCTTCAGAAAATGAGTAAGAGAGATCTTTTTGTTAACTTTGGTTTTGGCCAAGGCTGGCTGTCTGACACAAGGAGGTGTAAGCAGTGAAAGGGGTCTGAGCAGGACTCCAGCAGAACTGCTGGACAGCAGCTGCTACCTTCCCAAACACCTCCCAGGAGCAGTGGGGCTGTTCCAAGCTCTGCTTGGTGTCTTCCTGTAGTGCTGTCTAGGCTTTGAGCTTGTTTTGCTCTCCCCACTTACATTTTTTGTTAGTTGTCTTCTAGCATCTGTTCCTGTATTTGTTCTTCATTTCTTTCTAGTCTGTGGAGGACCTCATGGCATTGGTAGGCACTATTCATCCCTAATCTGGAGAGAGGGTGGGGTGAAAGGTCCCAGCTGCCTGGTCAGGAAGCTCACAGTGCCTGCAGGGGAGCGTGGGGGCTGCCTAGCAGGAAGGGAAGTTGCATCATGATGTCTGAGTGATTGAGAAACTTTGTGATTCAGTCCTCTTCTGCTGCTGTGCCATGTGACAGGCATGGTGCATCAGACAAGCTATTTTACTGTGTTCCTAATAAATTATTTAAAAAGAAGGAAATAAATTTCTTTGTTGATATGGAACCCTAAGGTTATATTTTCTCATTTGCTTTGAGGAGGTACTATGCTACTGTTTTCTGTGTGGAGTATAAAACAGCCAACAGGACATTGATTTTCTGTGGGATGAAGACAAATTCCATTTATTCTGTGGAAGTAAAATACCTTTATATTGTTAAAACCAGGTCCAAGTGGAGTGTCCAGGTCATAGAGGAAGTCAGTTGTAGAACTGGGAACTGACATGGAAAGGTCAGGTTTTCATCAAGCGTTTTGACCATTGCAACCTTGTTCCTTTTTCTGGAAACATTCAGATAATCTCTGCTTTATTTCTGTAAACAACAGAAATCTGCAACAGGGGATTACTTTGACTTAGCTTGTCCAAGGTCTGTTGTAGAAATTATTACTTTTGTTGTGATAAATGTCTCTGTTGAGTGCTGTGCTTAAGCATCTTCAACTGCAGACCAGGGAGCATGGTTGTAACACCTTCCTTATTTACTGTCTGTGTGGTAGACACACGATGGATGCCAGAATAAAGTCACTCCAGGACAGAACCTGATGGTAGCTGGCATGGAGAGATGATGTGTCATTCCTTATTGCCTTGAGAAACTAAGTCCTTTAGTTAAATCTTCTAAAACTCTTGAGTTTTGGAAATTAGAAAAAAAGGATTTCCTTAGATTTAATTTACTCAGTGCCCAAACCTTATCAATGCAGGGTGAACGTAAGTGTTCTGCCATTTGTGTTCAGGCTCATCTCTTGAATGTCTGCAAGAATTGCCTTGGAGAACAGAGCTTGTGTTCAAGTGCAGGTTTTTTGGGCAGGGATTACTGGTCTCCACAGCATGGCATCTATTGTGGTCAAACCTGCTTTGGGTCTGGAGTTGTGTTGTTGTGCAGATGGTTTTGTGGACTTGCAGTGGCAAAAAAACTGCCAGCATTCTGACTAGTGCTTGGATATGGTTATAGTTAGCATGAGAAAGTTTATACAAGACAAATCCTAGTTCAAAAATCCTAATTTTACATGAAAACATTGAAAAAAAATGTTTTAAGTAACAGTAATGCTAAAATGTTTCCCTTTCACTGTTACACAATGAGCTAAAAATAGTTTTCATTCATAAAAAAGCTGTTTCCTTTGTTAAATAATCTGCATAGCAGAGAACAAAAGTTCATTTTGTAGTAAACTGTAGCTGTATTACAGCTCCAAGTCTGACACCTTTATCCCGATTGAAATAAGACTGTAAACTTTAATTTTTGGTAGCTGAAAAGCAGGCTTAAATAAAATAGAATGGGTGATACACAATCGCTGTTCAGTAGCTATGGATGTGATCTGCACAAAATGCTGAAGTTCTGTGTCTTGCAGCTCTTTTTCTAAAATGTATAATTTCTGTACCATCTTCATGGAGTGCTGTGCAGGGGTTGGGATTGGGAAGGGGTCTCCCTGGCTGTGGAATCTTGCTGATTGCTCTGAAGTAGTGCAGTGTCAATCACATTCATAATCCTACCAAATTTAGCAGAATTAGCTGCATTTGCATTCATACAGCTCTTTGGATGTGGTAGTGGAACTGGTAGCAAGTCCATTACTTTTTAGTTGGATTGAGATTTTTTTACGTGGTATTTAAGACTAAAAGATCATCCTTCAAAATCAAAATACACAACTATTTTTTTTTTGACCTTTAGCAAAATTATATGGCAGTGATATTTTCCGTTTAGAGGGTACATGCAGTAACATAAATGGCAGCTCCTTCAGATTTTATTCTAGCTAGAAGATGTCAAAGGTGATAAATGGCAATGGCTGTGAAATCACAGCTGATTCTTTTAAAGGATAGGAGAACAGTGTAATGAGAAGGCTTTTGAGAAACAGTAGTAAGAGCAGCTTAACTGGATTGGGATGCCATGAGAAAATACATGCAGAATGTGAACTTGAGTCACGTTGTGAAGAAGATATGAAAGAGACTAGTGGGGCAGATATAACAAAGGCTACAGCGCACATGGAATGGCGAGTAGCAAGAGACATAAAAGTCAGCTACCTATAAAAGTAGTAGGAAGAATGGGAAATGTAGTAGGGAAGTAGTAGATTGGGAAGTAGCAGGAGGAGGATTGGGAAATGCCTCACTTGGTTTGGTAGGGAGTACATGTGTCTGCAGAAGGTGCGGAACATCTGAAGGGTTTAGTGCCTATTTTGCTTCTCTTTCACATGGTGTCATGCAGGTGCTTAATCTTAAAATATTTTTGACAAGGTAGTATTTTACACTACAGTGTACTTCCACTAGATGTTTCTGTGTCAACTGGACCTGATAAGTTTCATTGTACAATTCTTAAAACTCAAAAGTATTACCTAGAACTACTCAGAAGTACTAGAAGACTGACAAAGGATGAGTCTTCCGACACTTACAAAGGAGAAGTGCCGAGGGAGATGAGTTACAGCCTGACAGTTCAGTTTGTCCCAGTTTTTTCCATCAGTTGAGATTAATAAGCAAACATCAAACATTCTATTTTCAAGTGCTTGGTAGATACAGCAGCATGAACTGATTTGTGGGAAAAGTAATTGTGTCTGAAGTCTTGATACCTTTTACTGCAGAGCAGAAGGCTCAGTGGCTATAGCAGAAGCAGTGGAGGTTTAGTCTCCTTAATTGATTGATTTTAAAAGGTTTTCCTCATTTTAATGGCCTCATAAGTAAATGGAGGCATGATCTGGGGGCAGATGATCCTGTCTGGAGAACTGTAATTAATAATTTGGTGTTAAAATGAGAAGTTAAGTTGAAGGATTCTGTCCTGGGTCCTGGCCTTTAATGAAAATATTAGTCAGCTGGCTGATTAAATGTGCTTAGTAAATTCTCAGGGACTGTGTTGGAGGACATGATGAGAGTTCAAAATAACCTGAAAAATTAGCACAATATTCAGTAGGGACAAATGCAGGTACTGCACTTAGGCAGGAATTGCCAGCTGTTGAAATGCGGGGTGAGAAATAACTGGTTAGCTACTAGAAAAAGGACCTGGGGGTGTACTGGATCACAAGTTGAACATGAGTCAGTGTCATGCTGTTTTGCAGAAAAGGCAAGTATCTTACTGGGATGTTTAAACAGCAGTATTGTCTGAGAGACGTGAAGTTTAAATCCATTGGCTTTATTTGCTGTTGATGTACAGTCTGTGCAGACAGCATCTGTTTTGGGTGCCAAGATTCAAGAAGAATTTGGACCACTTGGAAGGAGTTCAGAGTAGAGAAATGAGAGTAATCAGAGTTCGAGGAAACAACTTCATAAATGTGGAAGAAAATCCAAGCTATTTTGGCAAGAGATGAGGAGTTTAGAGGGAATGTAAGAGATTTCAAGTATTTAAAAGATTTGTAAGATGGAAATGCTCTTTTCAGTGGCCATGATGGGCAGGTTGAAGTGGGATTAACTTTCATCACAGAAAACACCAATTAAGTTTTCAGCATTTCTCACAGTTAATGTAGAACTTTAAGAAGTCTTTACTTGTGGCCATGAAGAACAAGTTTGTGTGTTTACAAAGAATGGTATATGGTTTAGGTTGGAGAATAAACTCAACTCGCTATTAATGCCCCTTTCATCTCATTTTGTAAGATTCTATTTTTAGTTGATGTTAAGTTTGAGCCAGTGAGGGAGAAATTGTCAGGATTCTTTTTGGCAATCTCTTTGTTGTACCATGTGGGTGTAGATCTTGTACAGGTTCAAATGGTTAGAGCTGTGGTGCTTCTATTGGTTTGGAAACATACAGTGTTTTGGATTACTTTCTTCTCCTGCCTGCTGCCTCCTGCAAATGGAGCAAGGTTTCTTGTGCTGTCAGGATGTTCTAAACCTCCATGGTGGAGGTA